AGTTTTGTTCCATTAACGCTATGATCAATTAATTATTGCAGGTGTATCTATATCAAGTGGAAACAACGAACCCGCACACTACAAACTGAAGCTCGAGTCATTCTCTCTTTTGTTTGAAGCTGGAATAGTAAAGTATGAATCCGATGTTTTTGAAGCTAGCGGATACAAATGGTTAGTTTTTCTTTCTCATTAAGGGGTTGTTTCCGTTAGTATATATTATTATGCCTATGAATTATGATTGTATATAAGTCGATGGACAATTTATGATGAAAATAGTCCCTAGACTATATATAAATACCATGATAATTATATAACCAACTTTCGTACATAATGAGATATTCGAGAATCAAAATTTTCAGGAAACTAGAACTATATCCAAAAGGAAACGAGGAAGAATACATAAACGATCACATTTCTCTTTATCTTGTCATATGTGACACACAAAGCCTTGAAAGAGGGTGGGAGGTTTATGTGTACTTCAAAATCTTGATTTACGATCATATACGCCACAACTATCTAACCATTCAAGGTACAACGTTTGTACTTTGAGACCAAATATATAATGGGGTTGTTTTCGGGTTCATGTTGTTGTATATGGTTATATATAGGTGGGGATGGTAAACGTACGAGGTTCCATGAGAAGAAAACGAGATGGGGCTTCCGGAAACTCATGTCACTAGATTCGTTTAAGGAGGCTGAAAACGGTTACCTTTTTGGGGATTCATGTGAGTTTGGAGCCGAGGTTTTTGTTGTCCCAAAATATGCGCAAAAAGATCAATGTTTGTCGATGATCAAGCCCCCAACAACGATGAATACACACATTTGGACAATTGCTAATTTTTCGGCTTTAAAAGATGAAGCGTTGTACTCTGAGGATTTCAAAGTTGGCCAAGTGAAATGGTACGTTCGTTTCTTTTGATAACTCGTTAGTTTTTCAATACAATATAAAGTCCTTAAGGAGAACATGATATTGTAGACTTTTGTTCTGATACCATGTGAGATGTGCATAGTTATTAGTTTTCTCTCCAAATGAGTTTTTAGGAGAGATGACGAGAGGTTGATATGTTATTGTTGATTTGAATATGTGTGAAACAGGAAATTATCTTTGTATCCTAAAGGATCCAAAACAGGAAAAAACACAAATCTTTCAATCTTTCTAAGACCACATGATGTTGGATCTGGTTCTGGATCGGATGAGTGGAGAGTTTATGCAAAATTCAAGATTCGGGTAAAAACCCATGAATTCGGCAGTACCCATGAAAGTAAAGGTATAAGATCATACATAAAATCCTCTCATTTGTAGCTAAAAACTTCATTTTTCGTCACTAAATCTTCTTGATGTTGCTATCTATATGTATGCTTTTCTTGATGGAGTCTATACATTGCAGAAGCTGACCATTGGTTTTGCAAAACATCTGATGGTTGGGGGTTCCCTTGTTTTATGCTGTTAAGCGATCTTCATGACTCCAAAAAGGGCTTCTTGTGGAACGACACTTTGGTTGTTGAAGCACAAATCTTAATTGTGGGCATCCTAAAAAATCTCGTCTAAATTAAGTTGTAAACAATTATCTAACAATTTGAGTTCCAGTCTCGTTTTTCGTTTCTAAGGATGTAATACAGATGGTAAATATTTCATTTGTTGAGTATGTTTTTTATTATTTTCGAACGTATTTATAATTTCATGAATATATGGACATTTATGTGGATTATACTCGTACATTTTTTGTTTGTAATTGTTTTGAATGCCAAAATATAGAGGTTAGCAAAAACAAAATCTCAAACTAAAAAAACTGCAAAAACAATTGAGACCGGAAAAACAAAACTAAACGTAAAACCAAATGTGCAATTTTAATTTTTCAAAAACCATAATTTTCCGATGCGTTGCGGTTTTATACAATCTAAATATATATATATATATATATATATATATATATATATATATATATATATATATATATATATATATATATATATATATATATATATATATATATATAGGGGATAGGGAATATACATTACAGCCCCACCTAAGCTTAGGTACTAAACTTCTAAAATATGGCGTTTTAACATGCTAAATATACTCGGTTTGGTTTCACTTGGTAAATATATCATCCTCCATAACATTTCTTTCTTTCATTATCGTTTTACCATCTCAGTTTTCTTTCCTCAATTATCGTTTATTACTTCACCCAAGTGAACATTACTAAACCCTAAACCCTAAATTTAAACCCTAAACCCTAAATTTAAACCCTAAACCCTAAACCCTAAATGTAAACCCTAAACCCTAAATCCAAACCCTAACCCTAAACCCTAAACCTAAACACTAAATCCTAAATCTAAACCCTAAACCTAAACCTAAACCCTAAACCCTAAACCCTAAATCTAAACCCTAAACCCTAAACCCTATTGTTTCGATCTTGAATTTACATCTTGAAGTATTAATCGTGAATCCATTAACCGTAATCTTTATATAGTAAAACAATGTATTTTCAAGAGGTTTAGTACCTAAGCTTAGGTGGGGCTGTAATGTATATTCCCTTTTCCCATATATATATATATATATATATGTATATATATATATATATATATATATATATATATATATATATATATATATATATATATATATATATATAGGGTCCGGGTCCAATAGGAACCCAAAAATTGGTAGGAACCGCGAAAACTATTCTCCACCAATCATTTCGTCAATGGCACAAACGTCAAACTCATTTATTTGGTTGTGACGCGTTCGCATGCGACGCACGTCCATGAAACGTAATACGACCTCGAGGGAATAATCATGTGCGACGAACGTCCATGGAACGTTATTAAATGAGTTTTTCTTTTCTTTGTTGTTTATTTTGGTCCATGGAACATCATTTAAATGGAACGTCCATGGAACGTATACGAACTCGGGCTAATACCTTGAAAGGATCAATATACTTGGGGCCCAGCTTGCTCCACTTCTTGAATTGGATGACACTTTTCCAAAGTGACACATTCAGGAGTATCATATCTCCAACCTGAAATTCCAAGTCTGGTCGGCGTTTGTCTACGTACTCTTCTACTGGCTTTGAGCTGTCTGAAGTCTGTTGCGAACCTGCTGAATCAATTCCATCGTCTTGAGTACCGCGTGACCCGCTGACCGAACTCTCCCCAACATATTGGGGTCCTATACTTCCTCCCATAGAGCATCTCAAAATGAGGTCGATCAATGTTGGCGTGATAACTGTCGTTATATGAAAATTCCGCCAAAGGAATATACATATCCCAACTACCACCAAAATCCAAAACACATGCCCGCAGCATATCTTCCAAAGTCTGGATAGTCCGCTCACTCTGACCATCAGTCTGCGGGTGGAAGGTCGTGCTGAAATACAAACGGGTACCCAACTCCTCATGGAATCTCTTCCAGAACCTGGAAGTAAACCGAACATCCCTATCAGATACCACATAAACCAACACCCCATGACGTACTACCACCTCCCGAATGTAGATATCGGTTAGCTTTTCCACCGAAATACTCTCCTGAGTCAGAATGAAATGCGCGCTCTTGGTCAACCGATCCACGAGGACCCATATCGAATCCACTCTGCACGTCGTTCTGGGTAACTTTTGTGATGAAATTCATCGTAATCTCTTCCCATTTTCAAACGGGAACTCCCAACAGCTCCACTTTCTTTTTGAGGTCGTTGACGCTCGGCCTTGACTTTCCAGCAAGTCAAACACCTCTCCACATACCATAATATGATCACTAAAACCAAACAACGTTCATTCCAAAATAAACTTCAATTATAGCTATATAAATAACCTTTCTAATGTATTATGATCGTTGAATGTCGATCACCCGATTGCAACATTTTCTTCTTGTTCTTGAATCTTGATTGAAGCTCTTTTCTTCTTGCTCTTTAGTCTTAATTGTAGAATATCGATTTCAAATATTATAGATTCGATTATATTGGGAGTCGACTGCAATTGGCCATTTGGATTAGGAATTGAACCGGGAAGTTGAAGTGGAACGTCTAACAATCTAAATCCTCGATTTCTTCATGTGAAGATTGATAAATGTATTATAAATTATAAATAATTAATTTATATTTCAAAATTTTAGACGAGACGAGTCATAAACGGATCGGAGCGATAGTGATCCATATCCGACCCTTTTAATAAAATGGTTAACGGGTACGGGTCCTTAATGGGTAAACGGCATAGAATATGATCCAAACTCGTTAATTTTACACGAGTTTGGAGCGGATCAGGGTCAAAACCTGCTTCATTACCGGGTTTAGTAAAAATTCATCCATTGGGTTTAATCAACAAAGACATCATTATAAAGCGAAGTTTAGTAGTAACTAAGGACATCATCATCTTCGACTCCACTAAATCATATTTCCCTTCAAGTAAGTATTCTTTCCTTTTTTATTTATCTATCAAGAAATTAATCTTAAATTGTGCTAACTCGATATAAACAACACATACATTACAACTACTAAAATTTTATGGTATTATAGTTATATTTTGAATTGCTTTTAAAACACCAATTCACATAAATATTAATCTTTGCTGAAAAATCAATGGAATATACCTAGAGATTTTAAAATTTTATTTATATATATCTAAATCATAATCAGTAGCCAAATACATAGAACCCTTGTCATTTTAATGATACCTAAAAATTCACAATACCATCTACCTTTTTTTTCTTCTCTCAAAACCACCATTATCACCCCAAAATAGTCATAGATTTTAGGAGGAAATATTGAAACCAAGTATTTCATTAATTCCAACATAATTCAAGTCTCTATAATTTTGCAACAAATCATGAGAATTTCTCGGAATTCAAATTCAATTCCCATCAAATCCTATCCAATCCACAAACCAAACAACAAAAAGAATATATATTTTATACATGTTCTAAAAAGGTTTTCTAAAGTATTTGTCTTTTTCCATTTTGGTCACGAGAAAAATTGTACTTTATGACCGAAGTTGAATAGTTGGTTCTCCCATTAATTTAAATGGAGCATAGAAGGATCATAGACCTGATGAAGTGAACAACGTTTCTTCAACCAAAACCCCCCAATTTATTTCTCGAAACAATTTCTACTATGGCGCATCGAGAATCGATGATGATTAAACTCCTTCTAGGGTTTATGCTACTGAGCTGCATGCATCATGAATCAGCAATTGGTAGGTTTGTAGTTGAAAAAAACAGCTTAACAGTTACTTCTCCTGAATCCATCAAAGGAAATCACGACAGTGCCATTGGCAACTTCGGAATTCCTCAGTACGGCGGTAGTATGGCCGGAACAGTCGATTACCCGAAAGAAAACAAAAAAGGTTGTCGAAAGTTCGACGAATTCCGGATTTCTTTCAAAGCAAATCCCGGAGCATTGCCTAAATTTGTTCTTCTCGATCGTGGAGGTATGTTTATAATTTAAGTTTGAAGATCTTAGTTTATGATTTGTTTTTGGTGATACGACAAATACGAATTTGGGATTCAGCTAATTTTATAATTAAGTGTCGCAATCTAAATCATTTCATTGTTTATTTGATTGATTTTGTAATCTCCTTCAAATTTTTGTTTGTTATCCAGATTGTTTTTTTGCTTTGAAAGTATGGAACGCCCAAAACGCTGGTGCATCAGCTGTTCTTGTTGCAGACGACATTGACGAACCACTAATCACCATGGATAGACCTGAAGAAGACGGTTCCTCTTCAAAATACATAGAAAACATAACAATCCCATCGGCATTAATCTCCAATAACTTCGGTGAAACCCTGAAAAAAGCAATCAGTAACGGCGACATGGTAAACCTAAATCTTGATTGGAGAGAATCCGTTCCACATCCAGATGATCGAGTCGAATATGAACTATGGACAAACAGCAACGATGAATGTGGAGTTAAATGCGACATGTTAATGGAGTTTGTGAAGAGTTTCAAAGGGGCAGCACAAATTCTTGAGAAGGGTGGATATTCCCTTTTTACCCCTCATTATATCACATGGTATTGTCCTCAAGCGTTTACCATTAGTAAACAGTGTAAATCACAGTGTATAAATCATGGAAGGTATTGCGCACCTGATCCTGAACAGGATTTTAGCACAGGGTATGAAGGAAAAGATGTGGTTATTGAAAATTTGAGACAATTGTGTGTGTTTAAAGTGGCAAATGAGAGTAGAAAAGCGTGGATTTGGTGGGATTATGTTACAGATTTTCAAATAAGGTGTCCCATGAAAGAGAAGAAGTATAATAAGGAGTGTGCTGATGAGGTCATCAAATCCCTAGGTAAAGTATCTTTTCAGGGTTTAGGGTTTAGGGTTTATTCATAGTAATGTGTTTTTTTTTTTTTTTTGTGAATGTGTAGGACTTGATTTGGGAAAGATTGAGAAGTGTATGGGAGACCCTAATGCGGATTCGGATAATATTCTCCTTAAAGAAGAACAAGATGCTCAAGTATGTTTTTTTTTTTAATATATATTTTTAGACATTAATATAATGTTTTTTTTTTTATCATTGATTGGTTTTGGGAATATAATTAATGGACTACTATGGAAATTGCAGATTGGGAAGGGGTCAAGAGGTGATGTGACGATATTGCCCACACTTGTGGTTAATAATAGACAATACCGAGGTTAGTTTTTACATTTATTGATGGAATGGAATGGAATAGAATGAAGGAATGGAATCAACCATTCCATTCCATTCCTTACATTACTCAATTTTTGTTCACAGGAAAGTTAGAAAAAGGTGCTGTTTTGAAGGCCATTTGCTCTGGTTTTGAAGAAACAACCGAGCCTGCTGTTTGTCTTAGTGATGGTAAAACCCTAAATCTATAATCTTCATTTTTATTTTATTTTATTTTTTAAATATTCAAGAATTCTTTTTTACTAAAAAAAAAATTGGAAGGTGTGGAAACAAACGAGTGCTTGGAGAATAATGGTGGTTGCTGGCATGATAAATCCACCAATGTCACTGCATGCAAGGTACCTTTTTTTTTTATTTTTTTTTATATCTCATAGCTCAAAAATTTATAAAACTCTGCTTATATTTTTTATAATTTTTATAAATTTTATACAGGATACATTTCGTGGGAGAGTTTGTGAGTGTCCTTTGGTTGATGGAGTACAATTCAAAGGAGATGGGTATACCTCATGTGTAGGTATAATACTAATACTTTCATTTTTTTAAAGTCAAGAATATAAAAATTAATTTTCAAGGGTATTTTGGTAATTAAGTATATGTTTTTTTGTAGCAAGTGGGCCAGGGCATTGTAAGATCAATAATGGAGGATGTTGGCACGAAAGCCGAGATGGTGATTCATTCTCAGCTTGTCTGGTTTGTGCTCTCTTTTGATTTAGACTTTTTGGTATGAATATGAATAATGATGGAATGGAATGGAATCATGGATTCTAAAGTAGGGTTTGTAACAGGATAATGAAAACGGGAAATGTGCATGTCCTTTGGGGTTTAAAGGCGATGGTGTGAAAAGTTGTGAAGGTAAATAAATTTTATATTTTTGAAATAATGAAAAGGTGGAAGGGTTTTAGAAGGGTAATTTGGTAAATAAGATGAAATTATTGAACACAGATGTTGATGAATGTAAAGAGAAGAAAGCATGCCAATGTCCAGAATGCAGTTGCAAGAATACATGGGGAAGCTATGAGTGTAGTTGTAGTGGTGATTTTCTTTATTATAAAGACCATGATACCTGCATAAGTATGTTTTTCATTTTTTTTATTTTTATTTCAATATATTTATTATTATTATTATTATAAAATATAAATGATGATTTGTTGCAGGTAAGACAGCTGGCAAAGGTAAATCTTCATGGGCTGCCATGTGGATTATTTTCTTGAGCTTAGCAATGGCTGCAGGTGGAGCATATCTTGTATACAAGTATAGATGGAGGGTAAGTTGGTCTTTTCACCTTTTTCTTTTTCAAAATGGTAAAAAAAAAAAAAAAAGTATATTGGTTTAATCACTAAATGACTAATGATGTCTATCTGGATAAAGTGTTGTGTACATAAAGTTTGTTTCAGTGAGACCAAATGACCATTTTACCCTTACATTAAGTCATTTGTCCATATTAAGTAAAAAAGAAATAAACCCTAAATCGATTAAATGATAAATTATGTTATGTATTGCCCTTTTTCTTGAAATTAAGTTACATTTATATCTCATTTTTTCAGTCATACATGGATTCAGAGATCAGAGCTATCATGGCACAATACATGCCTCTTGACAACCAAAGTGGAGTGGTGAATCATGTGAGCGAGAATCATGCGTGAAAAGACATAATTATCCCTTGAAGAGTTTACACACATCTTTATATAGACTAGAGTGACACATTAAGCAAAGTGCTAGTGTAGAACTTGTAGAAAACTTGCTCTGTGTCCAATTTGAATTAGATTTAGACATTTAGGGCTATTTTCAATGATAAGGATGACAAGGGCATTCATGTCTTTTGCACATATGAGAGAGAAAGAGATCAAATGTGAGCCCTAGCTGCGTGTTCATCGTTTATCAAGAATTGTTAAAATAACATGAGAATTGAGAAGAACAAATTGACAATTTTCATTTATCAAGAAATGCTCAACACTCTGTTTGCAACAAATTAGCAAACATTTTTTCATACAAAAACTATGAGGAACTCAAGAAAAAGCTCATGTCCATAAACATTTAAGACACCATGTTCATGAAAAAAAAAAAACCATGAAGGTTGAACATAGAAGCATATCTTGTTATGGACTCAAAAAATTGAATAAAAAAAGGCAAAATGTAGAATCATGGAATCATGTATTATCTTGGAGAAGGGAGAGTTATATCAAGTCCAATGTCCATACCATTGTACGCAAGAGGAGCATACATCCATAGATCATCAGAGCTCAAAAGCTGCAAACAACATAACATCATTAGCTTCAATCTTCAATCTTCAATCTCAATTCATGATTTGAAACTAATGATTTGAAATTCCTTTTATTCTTGTTGTTTGTGTTTGTTTAATGTCTACTAACCTTGATTTGGAGTTGCAAAAATTTAACATATTGAACAGCTTCCTCAAGCATCGTGCTTATGTCAACCTTCATTACAAAAAAAACGAAATATTAAAACCTTTTTTTTATGAAATTGTAGTAAAAAAATATAACTTAAAAAAAGATAATTTAAAAAACAATTACGTACCTTTGTACCATTAGGAACAAGACTCTGTAATATTCTCAATCTTTCATTGATTCTCTCTCTTCTTTTCTACAAAAGATAAAAAGAAGTTACTTTGTCAGCAAAAAGGTAATTCTTCTGAATGACATAAGAGCCCAAAACACAGTGTCCAGATATCTGTATTGGAACTGAAACTCCTACACTGTAACCAGCATACCTTCGCGTAGACACTTTGGCTATCGGTTGCTGAGCCATTACTTGCTCTTTTCTTGCCACTTGAATTCGCCATTGGAACCCCTTGTGGTCTTGGACTTAAATCTTGCAATCTATTTGAGTCATCATCTGAGTCATTCATGCTTGTAAACTTTGTCTTCTTCCAACCCATTTGAACCTACAAATCATTAAAAAAAACTTCATCAAAACCAATTACATTTTTATATTTAGTAAATTGTAAAAACAAAATTTGATCTATGTCAATGTCAACATACATCATCAAAGCTATAAGAGCGTTTCCTAGAACTTGGTGTCATGTTATCGAACTCAGTTGCTTCCTCTCCTTCCATTTTTGAGAAAAAAGGAATGACGGAAATACCCCTTTTGTTGTTGCCCCCTGAAGAGGAGATTGAGAGGTAGCTTTCCCCACTTGAAGTGGGAAAAAGAAGACTATTGGTGTTTGTATTATCTGAAATGGATATTGAAGCTTCGTAATCATCTTTCATGGTGGATTCATGGTGTGATTGTGACCAAAATGCAGAAGAAGAGGAAGAAGAATCGTCAAAGGTGGAAGTTTTAGGTGATTTAGTTGAAAAGTTACCAAGTAATTGTGCCATGAAATCAGCTTCTTCACTAACATATGTTCCACTAAAGTAGTTCCTTTCTCCTTCCAAAAGAGTAGACACAGATTCCATTTTTGTATAGTTGAAAATAGAAATAGAAATGAAAGAATAAATGTTTGGAGTTATCTGTCATGTCACAAGTGTCAAGAGAAGCTATTTATGGATGGGTTATGTGTCAGTTGATTGGTTTAGTTTGTTTAATCACCATATTATATTCATATTAAAATAGAAGAATTTGATTATGTCATAAACAATCATTAGAATGTTTGTTTAGGTGCTAATACAGCTAACGTGACCTTTCATAGGGTTTGAATCAGATTAATCAACATGCTGACAGGGATACGTGTCAGAAGGGGCATCATTGAGAATTGAGAAGGGGATATTCGTTAATTGTTCATCTAAAAAACTCCATTCTTCATTTCAAGCCACTTATTGTGATCTTGAATGATCAAAATCTTCCTACATTTGGCTAATTTTTAGATTAAAAAAAACCAATCGAACTTCCCATTGCAACTTTTGATTTGATCGATTTTGTTCTTAATTTTCCAAACGATTTATACTATATGATTAAAACGTAGTTACACATATATGTACACGATGTTAATTTTTGTCAATTTTGAAACCGAAAAGAGGTTAACTAACACATTTCAATGATAACAAAACGATCAACTTGGATATTGATGACGAAGGCAAAGAGAGATAGATAGATTGCATTTGTTTATAGATATAACAGAGATTCAATGAGCTGTAGAGATCTCTCAGGTTTTTTGTATAAAAAAAAGGATCTGAAATTGAAGAAACTCGTAATTGTTGGTGACGAAAGAAGAAAAACACACCAGTCACTGAAGAAGGAGGTGCGAAACCGCGTTCCGAGATATTCCCGGCGATGTTGTCGCATGTTGAATAAGGAACATAAATATATTTCTTCTCCTTCTTCTTCTTCTACGTGTTCGTGTAGTGATTTAGGTGAAGTCATGGAGCAAAACCCTGGATAGATCTGGCATTGATAGTGATGGAACTTAATTGTTTAGGAAACATATGCCGGCCATTTGCACGATCTCCGATTTTAAACTAATATTGCGAAGACGAAAGAAGCATAAATTATATACGATAGATTGATGAAGAACTCCATTGAAGGGTTGTGATTGCACGTTTTCGTGGATTTTAGAGGAGAAAGCTTCCATGGGAGTTGTTAGGAACTCTGCCATTCTTTTTCTTTTGAATATTGGGGTGTTCGGGATTACGTATGAATTCAACGCGAATTTTATATAATAACGTATTAATTTAATATTATAATTTGTGAATTTAGTTTTAATATGTGAATTAATAGAGTTATTATATTGGCATTATTCATACTCTCATACTGGCAGTTATTCTTTAATTTATATATTTCAATCATTAAAATCATTTACCTATTGATTAATAATTTTTATTTTAGATATTTTTAATTAATGAACTTCTATTGTTTGTTCTTGATAATCAAAATCAATTATTGGTGTAGAAATATGCCCTGAACCTATGGTGGCCATTTCAGGTTTATTGGTGATTTGTTAATACGATCGATATGTTGTTTGCATATTGTGAGCAAACAAAAATCCATGAAGAATATTTTGGTTTTGGTTTTGTCCAACTATGGATCTGAATTTGAATTTAATTGGATAGGTTGACCTAAAATTTCTCATGATCGATCGATGTTGGCTATTTGAGCTTAATTGAAGCAAGTGAAAGAAACTCGGGTTGAAGCTTGGAAATAAAAGATTTTCTTGATCTTAGTTAGGTTTTTTAATGTTTAGATATTTCTCTAAAATTGACCTAAAGTGTGTGTACAAATCAATTTTATTAAAGGATGTGAAAATAAGCTATTTCTAGACCCAAACATCTGGCTATAAATGTGACTATCTCCTCTTCTTCAAAATATGTATTACTTATTCTCAAGATCATCTTTCATATTTACATCACTGTCATATTATTTTAATCGTTTGTCTTTCAAAGTGGGTTATGCTTATGTTTCATCTTTCACTTTTATTTTATTTTTATTTTTTAATACAAAGAATAAAATAAAAAGAAGAGAAAAGAAAATAAAAATTAAACGGTGAACTAGGCCACCACCACAACCCAACTCACACACATGCTCCCTTGATTTATTTCCCTTTTTTTTATATGTCATATTCTATGTTTTCAATGAATTTGTAATTTGGACATCAAATATTATCTAAATAAAATTAATAAAAAATAATAAATTTTGTAAAAAAATGTCATCTTTAAATAGAGTATAATATCGATATAATTCATATTTCATGTTAATTTTTTATTTATAATAAATAGTTGGTTTCGGTTGGGTTGTTAATGGGAATGAAATTTTTATTGGATTGAGTTGTATAATTGTATAGGTGCAAGAAAGAGAATATTTTTTTAATAGAAAATTTGGATTGGCTTGGGTTGCTAATGGGGATAGTCTAAGGGATTTAAGTATATGTCTTTGGTCTCTTAAAAGACTCATTGGTCCATCTCCACAAATTTAGTGGTTAAATAGAGTTTGTTGTCATAGCTAACATGATGCATACCAAGTAAACAAGGCTCAAACATCATACACTAGGTAACATGTGAACAATCACACATGTGCCACACGAAGGCTTTGCAAGATCCAACATATTGTGAAGGCCTTTTAGAATGGCACACAACTTTTTCTTGTTATGTGGATATCCAAGTCTATTTTTAAGTGTCCGGACCACAACAATCTCTTGATTCATACCCAACTATATCAATGAATGCAACATAAAGCGTCTTAGATAATGTTAAATCATTTTAAAGATGTCTCCGTTTTCAAAATTTATTCAATTCTTTAGAATGTTTACTTTTAAAATGTACAAATAGTTTATAAAGTAACAAGTAACACATATTATATCATATTACAAACACAAAATGAAAATTAAGACATCATAGGGGAATATGTTCAAAATACTATGTATTCATCTCCCTAGCTTGTGAATGAACTCTCTTTACCTTCTTAGTGTGTTCATTGATAACTTATAAGCCATAACAATCAAGCACAAGACTTACTAAACTCTACAAGCGAAGCTACCCAAGAATTCTCCACGGTGGACATGGTACGGGTTCTACAACCCTATGTACGGGCTTACCCCTTCTTCTATAGGCTTGGAAGATCCCTACATATCATACCTCTCTTTCTATAATCATTTCTAAACATTTTTCCTACAAGTCAAATCCGTATAGTCTTGACATAAAAACATACGGGTGTATGGTTGGTCCAGGTACAAACTCTCAAACAAAAGTGTACGGATATGCGACTCAATCCATTATACCCCCTACTGCCCCAATACGTACAAGTAGTACCTCCATCTGGTATGGATGTATACCTACTTGTATGTTCTTGCAACAAATTTGTATGTGCATACAAGGGTTAGATGGTAGACTCAAAAATCCAAGGGTTACATATCGGTTGTATGAGCATGTACACAGATTGTACATACGTTGTACGGCCATACGACCAAAATAATACGATCATATGCCCTTCATCTTCTTGCTTAGATGCACTAGGCTAAAATGTATCAGGAATTTGGGTGACTGTATGAAGGGTCCCGAAGGGTTTGTGAAGGGTTCTTTCATGAAAAACTAGAAGGTATAAGCCCTAAATCCAAATCCAAACCCTAAACCTTTCTAACATGTAAGAACTCATATTTTATGATTCAAATTTCGAAGTCAGTCATTGGTCCAGAATTGGTTGTTTTTGCTTCTACAATAACATAAGCCACTTAATGTGTTCCATTGTTGGAATCAATCCCCACTGTTGAAAGTAAGTCTATCATATGGACCTTTCATGAATGCCCGGTTCAAAGCCACGGATCTCTCATACCTTTCTTGAATCCCCTTTTTGGTGCTCCCACACATAATCCTCATTTCAAGTGTAATGTTGGGTTCACTTTCTCTTGATTGCTCTACACCATTTGTGCATTTAGTCCCTTAGCAGCCAATATTGCTTCTAATAATGCCTCATTATGCAACTGTTAGCTAGTGCTTTTGTTCTAATAGTAGTCGACAACTAAAGGCATTCTTAAATTTTTTTCGAAAGTTACATATCTTTCTAACTTTCTATATTTTTATATATGTTTTATAAGTACAAAATGGAAAAGAAAGCTAAAAACCAGAAAAAGTAGTTGTAAGTTGTAACAATTAAATGGAATAAAAATAAAAGAAAGTGACCCTAACATAATGTGCAACTTTAACAAAACAGTATTATACTTCTAATATATCTGTCCACAAAACAAACAATGTGCAAGTGCAATCAATCCTTTCATTTTTCATAATCATCCAAATTATAATATCATCCATCATGAGATGAAACACAGACAATCAAAACCCTCTAAAATCATCCTCACTGTTCCTCCTCCTGGCCCACCACCTCTTCCCCAAACCCTCGTTGTGCAATTCTGTAATACAGAATTCCCATTGTTGCTAAACACGCCCTGCATCCAAATTATTATATTATAATAATTATAATAAATATAAAAAAAAAATTAAATGAAGAGATCTTATGATTATCTTACATGATTGCTATAACCAGAAGTATTTTTCTTGGATCCATCCTTGAAGGCCTATGGTGGGGCCTATGAGTCTGAGTCGACTCATCTGGATTTCCATCTTTTCTAGGGGGTGCAGTCACTGGTAAAGTTGGCAATGCACTTGACCAAAATGGTATCAATGACCGAAGAAACTTATGCCGAAATGTCCCTACAAATTACAAAATTTTATTTTTTGATATAGTGAAAAAGACTAAAATGCCCTTGGTATTAAAAGATCCAACTTTCTCACCTCTCCTAGTGTACTTCTTCCGATTAGCATCTTCATCATCTGCATAATAAGAAACCTCAGAGTTTTGCCTTTCTACTTGTTGTGCACTCTTTCTTGTTGTAGCACCAGGCTGCATTACAATTGGAATTGGAATTGGATTCTTAAGATGGAAATGGAAAGCTCAAGATAAAGTACTTACAACACCAGAAGTTGGGCTTCTTGAGTGATTTGCTGAATTAGGAACATCTATCTCCACAATGTCTATGCTTGAAGGTTTAGAAGAAGAAGAAGAACCATTCACAGAGGAGGGATCTTTTGTCAAGGGATCTGAGGATATAGCAGGAGTTGGGAATGAAACCGGATTGTTTCCAAACACATTCTTCTCCATTCCAGTCTGCATAACATAACAAGATCAATACTTATGTGAAGAAGCAAATCTTGAAAAAAGAAAAGTTCTTTGAAACTGGATTACCTGGATAATTGCTTCCTTCAACTGTGAATGTAAACGTGACCCTGAATCTTTGATGCTTTTAGGAGGCCATATCTGCAAAGAAAGTGTAATATTTGGTTATTAGTAAAATATAGACAGGTAATAGTAATAGTAATGCATTATATAAGTATACAAGTAGAGCTTACTGAAGTTGAACATTGAGGACAAACATATCCAGCTGGAGCAGTGTGTGGAGGGTAGCTTTTAATATTTGAAACTAAGCAACTAGTGTGTATGATATCTGAGAACAAAGAAAGAAATTACATAAGATGGAGTAGTTTCAACATTTTATGAAACTGAAAAACAAAATGATGGGTTTTTCTTGAGTGCAGAATAGCATACGCAGGCATCCCAGACGTGTTGTTTGGGAACCACCACCTTCTTCAAGAACAGCTTGACAATGGCAACACTTTGTGGGCCAGTCATACTCTCCATCAATTACCCATTCTGAGTATGTTCGAACCTAAGAAATCAACTAAATGGTCTCAAATGATATCTATGAAAAGGTGATCATCTTGATAGATAGAAACAACTGCTATGTAGGAGATATTACAACGTACCACACAAATTTGGTGCTCTGGAAAACAGATGCATTCTCCACAAACTGGAACCTTGTGCACGAAGCAGTACAATTTAGTTGCCTGTGAGCAACAAATCCGGTTTGGTTAGTACTCGAGTTTAACAATAAACATGATAAATTACACTCAGCATACTCCCATCGTCAACTGAGGTCAACTTTCATGGTGAATTGAACAAAGCTACTTGATCGAGTATTTAGATCTAAAAGGATTCGCACTATTCTAGAAAAAATACATCTATGCGAATTGGGATCTAAGATCCCAGATTCGCAGCAATGGCGACACAAATTTGTTAGCTCGATCTGATCTGAGAGCTCTAATCA